CAATGATAAGACTCTTAGAGAGTTTATCCTAATCTTACTGGGAGTCCAAGATTAGCAGTAATCCTGAGTCCATAGAAGTTAGGCTTCTTTTGGGACTAGGATTGTATTGGCTATAAAAGAGAGGCACCCCCATGGGTCTAAGGTATGCTTTTGATACTCAAGCTTGTGAGTTTAGTACTTGATTTATCTTTGAGAGATATACTGACTTGATCATCGGAGTACCCCCGGGTGGTTGAACCAACAAGAAACGAAGACAAGAATCTGGAAATACAACAAGAAAAACAAGAAGAGAAAAAACAGAGTCAAGAAGATGACAAAATTGAAAGAATAAAACACAGGCACTAAGTAAGTATGTGAAGAACAAGAAAGTAATGAACCAGACATGATGCTAGCAACAGAAAGTGGATATGACAAGAACAGTTCCAGGCATTTTAGCAATAAGAAATCAAAAACTTGAAGACAGACGAGAACAGAAGGCCACAGATGGAAAATAAACAGATTCAAAGTAAATCAGAAGAGTTATGAAAGATTGAGCTTAATAAAAAAGTGAGAATTTATGAACCTACCAAATGAACGCCGATATAAAGATCGCCAGAGTCAAATAGGTGATTGGAAATCAGGAAACCCACCGGAGAGTGTGAACGGAGCAGTTGCAGAAAGCTTGAAAAGAGATCAATGAAGGATTAGGGATATTTTTTTGAAAAGAGAAAAGTTTTAGCACAGAAAGTATATGAATGAATGCAAAATGAGAAGACAAAGGGAACGAGAGAAAGCTTTGTTGAAAACTCAAAAAAGGCGACAAAGGAATTGTACCTTGGGTGATGTACCTGTCAGGCAGCGTATGCAGAAACGACGCAAACCTGATAAGCGCATACAAGCAAGTAAAGGATGAACGTATGAACAAAACGGTTGAGGAGCATATGCATGGTAGCTCATACGCAGTTGCAAAGTTTCTAGAGTTTACGAATTGATGGAACCATAAACCTCGGCTAGAAGATGCGATCTCAAGTAGCCTGGAAGGCATGAATCTTGATACTTGACAGAAGTGGACAGTAAAGTCCAGGGAACTTTGAGGTCGGCAAGTTTGATCTCAAACAGAGGGGCACAGATGAACGAACAGTGTAGGTTCCATCACCTCAGAATGCTGAGGTAATAGAACCTAGGGGGCAGTTGTGGGGATATATTTTCTGAGTACCAACACGTGGCAAGGTGACGCCGACGTGTCAGCCGAGGTGCCACATGCGAAACTGTAGACGTCCCCGAACGCCCCGAAAGGAACGAGCTCCCGTTCTGTTCATATTCTTGGTCGTGACGCCGAGGTGATCTCGGCTAGGCCGAGGTTGCCTCCGAAGATATCGGAATCCGAGATAAGCGGATAAAGGACAAGAGTCCTAGAATGAAGAGGGAACTCAACTTGGATATGGACAAGAGTCCTAGATTGGGAGAAGACTTCAGTTTGGGTAAAGATAAGACTCTTAGAGAGTTTATCCTAATCCCACTGGGAGTCCCAGATTAGCAGTAATCCTAAGTCCATTAGGGTCAGGCTCCTATTGGGACTAGGATTGTATTGACTATAAAAGAAAGGCACCCCCATGGGTCTAAGGTATGCTTTTGATACTCAAGCTTGTGAGTTTAGTACTTGATTTATCTTTGAGAGATATATTAACTTGATCGTCGGAGTGCCCCGGGTGGTTGAACCACCGCCGGAGACTTCTCTTTCTGTTGCAGGTTAATTAGAGGCCATCTATTCTGCCAGTGCTTTTTCAGCTAATTACTAGGTGAGCAGTGTGGTCAGAAAATCACCCACACAGTATGTATGTATGTATGTGTGTATTGGTTAATTGTGTTGTGTGGATTCAGGGGAATTTGAAGAGTAGGAGAGTGAATCAACTACTGCAAGGTCAGAAGATGAATTACAATGGGGCGTCCTCGAGTCGGCGGTTCATGGTGAGAGCTGCTGCGAAGGAGATCGCGTTTGACCAGAGTTCGAGGTCTGCTCTTCAGGCAGGCATCGATAAGCTTGCTGATGCTGTTGGCCTCACTCTTGGTCCTAGAGGTATAATCGCTCTCTCTCTCTCTCTCACACACACACACACACACTTCTTCTTCTTCTGCTTCCATTTCTTTGTAGAGTTAGATGTTTGTTATTTTACAATTGCATTAATGTTAAAGCTTAAAGTTCGTTTGGATTGGGGAAAATAAAAGAAATGCATTTCTTTTTATTCATATCACCTGTTTTGATTAATAAAGAGATAGAGATGTGGTGAAATGGAAGGAAATGGAGAGTCTTACTATTAAAATTCCCATTTTGAATCTCTCTAAAAGTGAAGAGATTGAGAGAAAAATGTTACTAACAGATTACTATTTTTTTTCTATTTCATGATACTAAAACTGTCCCTTTAGATGTAGAAGAAATAAAAATAAAATTGACTCTTTGGTAATATTAAATGAGAGTTTTTCTATTCTGAATGGAATTGTAGATGGCTGGTCAGATCAAGATCTATTGACTAAATTGTGGAATATAGATTGAATGTTGGATTAAAAAACATATAACCGTGAATCAGTATGAGAAGCTGTCTCCATTCTAGGATTGATTCGTTGGAAACTCTGTGAAGCCCTCCTTCCTAGGGAGAGGAAGACAGAAAGAGAAAAAAGGTCCAGTTTAGTTCTCATTCATTGGTGGGGGGATTTGTTCTACACCGCTTCTTGAGAATCTTGTGACATTACCAAATAACTTGTTGTACAGTGATGTTTCATGTATTATTGATGAAATGTGAATTCATTACATCAGAAATTTGCCCATAAATGAGTATTGCACCCTAAGGGAAACAGATTATAAGTTGATTGATTTCAATCTTGTGTATAGAAATTATCTTCTTAATTTTTTACTTAACCCGACATCATTTTGTCCTTCACAGATATCTCAAGCCTTTGAGGAATATTCTATGTGAAATGCAGGTGGCCAGTCTAGCTGCATTTTGGATGATCAGGTTTGTGTGTTTTATATAATCTGGATGTTTCTCTGCTAAAAATATAATTAGCATATAGCACAGATCAGTATTTCAAAATCAAACTATTTCTTTTTCTTACCGATTTTGATAATTTCTTTTTCGGTGGTTGTATTGTAGAAGTGGCTGCTGTCTGTTTTTTTTTTTGGTTAATGGCTGCTGCCTGCTAAACATAATGGAAATGTATCTTATCTGTCTTAGTTTTCTTAATTCCCCTTGAGGATCTTGAGATCAGCAAGTAAGTTTCATTTGAAGAGGTTTAACGATTGAAGGCTGTCTTTTCCAACTTGCTTGGAACTCTATAAACATTGCTGAGCAAGACATCCTTAAACATTGCTTGGGTTTGCATATATAACAAATAAAATAGAAAGCCATACAAAGCAAGGAACCCACTATTACCGCCTTACTCCAACCATCATCCTCCTGCCACCACTACATTGACACAGCCATATTTGAGAATTTTTTTAACTTTTGCATATAGAATATTAAATTGTTTAACATGTTTTGGGTCATTTTGTTATATCCTCTTTAATTTGTAAGAATCTAAGGTGAGGTCAGGATTGCTCACAAATCCAAAAGAGGGTAAACCCAAAACCCTTATCCTATCTCTTCAAAATCCTCTCATAGAATTTTCATTTCACTTTTCTTTCTCTAAAAGCTCTTCTTGGTTTCAATCTCTCCTTTCATTTATTCTCTTATCATCCTCTTCTCTGCTTATACTTCTCTCTTTCTCTCACCAATTTCATAAACCATTGTCGTCGTCATCGTTATCATTGGATTTACTGAATTTATCTGTAATCTTACTATTATTAATTACCATTATTAATTAGTGATTATATCTGAAATGGGTTTTTGAATTTGCCTCCAAAGAATCCTCATTCATAGCAAAAAGAAGTAAAAAAAAAAAAAAGAAAAAAGAAAAAAAAAAGAGAGAAATGGCTCCAAAGTCAAGTAGAGCAAAGGGCAACAAAGCTAAGGCAGAGAAAAAGAAGAAAGAAGAGAAAGGTTAGACACCCACTTCCATCTATATTGTATATCAATTAATTTCTTTTCTTTTTCTCGATTTGAACACATTAATTTTTTTTAATTAATGAGTTATTATTTTTGTTTTTGTTTTTTCTTTCCATTTTGCAGTTCTTGATATTATAGTCATCACACCTTATGACACACAAGTGGTTCTCAAGGTATTGTTTGTTTATTTTTCCCCCCATAAAAGCGCATATATATTTTATTGAAAAAAAAAAGCATTTTTTTTAATATATTATTGTTTAAATTTGTTAACTACTTGATTAATAACGTAATTCTATGGAAATGAAGGGTATCTCAACTGATAAAATACTTGACGTAAGGAGGCTGCTAGCAGTCAATGTAGACACATGCCACCTCACCAACTATTCTCTATGACATGAGGTAAGTCTTGATATACATACATATATTTATGAATGTTTACTTACAAATTTTAATTAATTATTACATTTTTGTTTTTGTCTTTTGGGAACAGGTTAAAGGACATAGATTGAATGATAGGTTGGAGGTTGTTTCTCTAAAGCCCTGTTTGCTGAGGATGGTTGAAGGTAGAGGATGGTTGAAGGTAGGTTATGCTCATAGTCCAATATCTACACCAATGTTGTCAAATCGGGATTCGAATCGTGAATCGAAATGGCCATGTACCGAATCGCGAATCGAATCGAATCGTGAATTGTAAAGATTCACTTACGTTTTCTAAATTACATAAAAAAAACATATTTATACACTTAAATATTATAAATATGAAATATTTAGATTTAAAGTAATAAAAATGTTACTTTACATGATGATCACGTGGTCTAAATAGGTAAGACGCCTTTATGGCAAGAGATGTGGGTTCGAGCCCCACCGTGATCTATGATCCTATATTATATTTATGTATTTATGATATAATTTATGTAAATTCACATCACAACATATATGTATGGCAATTCACATTCATCATGAATAAGGTTCACAACTTAACAAGTTCTAAACTTTTCAAAACTCTAATCTATACTTGTAAAGTAACTTGTGTCAAAAAGAGACCATACAAAACAAAAATTAGATTAGACAAAGTTAAAAATTCCAAAAAGTCTTCATTTCTTCATTTCAATCTTCATTATCTCCAAGGTCAATATCATCTTCATCATCATCTACCATAGTCACTTCATCAAACTCTTCTTCCTCTTCCTCTTCCTCTTCCCTACCTTCAATCAATTCAACTTCATCATCATCTTCAAATACTTTTCTTTTTCCTCTATCGATGGCATTTAAATTTCTTGGTCCTACATTAATAAAATTAAATAAGGTTATGAATGAGCAAGTAAATGTGAAAAATATAGAAACTAAATCTTTGAAATTAACTTATTTAAAAATTAAAATATAGAATTATACCTCTTTTTCTCTTTTTGCTAGTTGTTCCTTCATCATCTTCGAAACACTCTTGGATGTCCATCCATGAATGATCTTCGGGTAGACATGGATCTTCTTTCTCGGTAATCCATTCATCATCGGATTCCATATCCGATAAATAAATAGGATCATAAGTCTCACCCCTTTCTTGTCTCTTAATTTGCCTCAACTCAAGTTGAATGTTATACTTCACAAAAACCAAAGCATTCAACCGTTGTTGCTCCAACCGGTTTCTTTTCTTCGAGTGCACATGATCAAAAGTGCTCCAATTTCTCTCACACCCGGTGGCACTACAAGTAAGACTTAGCACTCTAATAGCTTGCTTTTGAAGCTCTTTGCACTCTTCTTCGTAACTTTTCCACCATAGAGCTGTAATTAAATGATAAAGAGATGTTAGAGAATAATGCATGCCATTGCCAACATAATTGTTGTGAAATTGTGAATATATAATTTCATAATAAAAAATTTTACCGGGTTGTTTCTTGTCCCTTGTCAAGATGGCCATGCTCATACCAAACATACCCTCGGCCTTCTTGAACTTTTCTAATTGCTCATCAACCTTCACTCTATCCTCTATATCCGGATACATCCTCTCAATGGTTTTAAATAAACCAATTTTCACCTCCGTAATGAAACCTAGAAAGAAAGATAAATTCATAAATAAATTCCATTATACATTTTGTATATAAGTCACACAACACAACACAAATAATTTGACAAAAATAGAAAAAAACTTACATCGGATTAAGGTAATATGCCGCCGCATGCAAAGGCCTATGGAGTTGTAAATCCCATCTAGTATTAATAATTTCCCAAATGCGCTTATATCTACCTCTCACATGGTTCAAGTTTGAAGCAATTTCTTCCTTCGCTCTATCCATAGCTTCATAAATAAATCCCATTGTCGGCTTTGCATCACCACCCACAAGCCTCAAAATTTTCACCAAAGGGAGCACACACTTCAAGCAATACTTGATTGCTTTCCAAAATCTAGCATCTTCCAAGATTGTTCCTTATGCCTTTTTTGCATTAACAGATGTAGAATAGCTACTTCTAGCCCACTCTTCTGATGCAAACATAGCTCTAAGTTGGAGCTTTCTATCTTGGAAACTTTTTAAAGTAAGGAAGGTGGTGGCAAATCTAGTAACCGCGGGTCTTGTCAACTCCCTATTCTTTGTAAATTTTCTGAACAAATCAAGCACTCAAGCATGCCTATAAATGCACACAACAATTTCCTTGGCTTTAATTATTGTATCTTTGAAAACCGTCAACTCACCTATGTCACTCAACATTAAGTCAAGGCAATGTGCCGCACATGGGGACCAAAACAATTTAGTCCTCTTCTCTTCCAATAATCTACCGGCACCCACATACGCAGATGCACTATCGGTTACCACTTGAACCACATTTTCTTCACCAATTTCATTCACAATGTCATCAAGCATCTCAAACAATTTCATAGAATTTTTAATTACACCGGAGGTGTCTATTGATTTAATAAACACCGTTCCACTTGGACTATTAACAAGAAAATTAGTAAGAGAGCGAGACTTTCCATCGGTCCATCCATCGGACATTATAGTGCAACCCGTCTTCTTCCATTCTTTTCTATACACTTCATTTAATTACACCGGAGGTGTCTATTGATTTAATAAACACCGTTCCACTTGGACTATTAACAAGGAAATTAGTAAGAGAGCGAGACTTTCCATTGGTCCATTCATCGGACATTATAGTGCAACCCGTCTTCTTCCATTCTTTTCTATACACTTCTAAACTTGCATTCACATTATCAACCTTTTTTTTCAAAAAAAGATACTCTCACTTCATGATAACTTGGTGGTTTCAATCCCACACCATACTCACCAACCGACTTCAACATCTTCTTAAACAAGGGGCTTTTCACTAAATTAAAAGCCAATGCATGCCCATAAATGACTCTACAAATATCTCTAATCACGGGCTCCCTTTGCTTTATCATTTGATTCAAAGTTTGTTGTTTTGCCCTCCCCTTTGTGACATACGCATCCATAGTTCCCCCTTTACTTTTCCCCTCAATATTTTTTTTCTTCAAAACAATCAACATCTATAATGTTGTCTTGTTTTTTTCCACTTAAGAGTTGTAAAAACATATTCATAACATCTTCAGAAACTTGACTACAAGCACCAACATTATCATGAGTTCCGGCTAAATGATTTTTCATTCGAATCACTCCACCCCAATAATCTTTTCCACAATAATTACATCTCAAATACATTCTATTATCATCTTTGATACGGGTACAATGGTCCCATGTTGGATCTTGTTTTCCACTTTTTTTTTTTGCTTTTCATATTTTTTTTATCCATTGAAAAAAACAAAATATTTTTTTAATGTCCCACCCACACAGTAGATTCTTCAATGCTTCTACAGTCCACACAATAGACAATAATAAAGTAATGGATAATGGACAATAAAGTAATGGAAAAAGAGTCTAAAGTAATATAGTATTTTATATTCCCTATTTGAAGTTTGTCTGGTAGTGTACTACCTCAAACAAAATTGTAGGTGCAAGAAGAGACGACCAGACAACAGCAAGGGACCACGAAGCTTTGCGTCGAGGGCCACGAAGACTATACGAAGGACCACGAAGCAGATTCTAGCAGCAAGGGACCACCAAACACTGCGAAGAGGGACCACGAAGCTTTGCGTCGAACAGAGAGGTGAGTCTTTTTAGGGCTTTGTCTGTTGGAAGTAAAAAGGGATCATGGGTTACCTTGGGTGGACTGTCGTTTGGTCTTAGAAGACCAGGCGACCCATTTTGTGCCAAGAAAAAGCAAAAAAATTGGCCCAAAAATTGATTTTTTTTCCATTCGGGTCCGAGAAACTGGGGCGACCCGCGACAGTAACGAATCGTGCGATTCAGCGATTCTTCGATTCGTATCATGAATCGATCGATTCAGATGCGATTCTGCACCATTTCCGATTCCATGTACCTGTTTGAATTGATTTCTATGTGTATCGAACCGAATCGTACGATTCGAATCGCGAATCGTACGATTCTAACAACAGAGATCTACACCAATATCTATAACTAATGGTTTGTGGGTCTGGTGCCATTAATAGTTGTTGGCTTTATGAATCACTATTTATAGGTAGACTTTTATGGAATAAGATTCTCTATAATATTCTTTTTGCAATAGTTTTACAAAAGGTCAAAATTATTTTGTAAAATTATTGCAAGAATGATTATGTTTTGAACTTAAACCATTTATTTAAATCACAATTGATAGTGTTTTGGGCTTAAACCACTCACTTAAACTAGTATTGCAAGATTATTGTAGAGAATCCAACTGTCTTTGATGATCCAGTGATAGCATACATTTTGTATAGTAAACTTTAATGAGAACCACTAAAAACTTAGAAAAAATAAAATTTAGAATATTACTCAAAATTTAAAATTAATGGTTGAGATTCACTCAAGATTTAGCCCCGCAATGTAAAGTTTAAACACACATCATAGATAAAAACTTGTGGGAGAAGACAGGACTCCAATCGGGTTTTCGGTTTGGGAGTTAGAGCCGGATTTCACTATAGGCAAACTAGTTTCATAAGAAACTTGAATTCAAGGTGTTGACGCTCCAAAATCACCAAACGGTGTCGGCTTGGCACAAAACTTGGCACACACGACCGCCTAGGAACGAGAGACTTGTGGGAGAAGACGGGACTCCAATCGGGTTCCCGGTTTGGGAGTTAGAGCCGGATTTCTATCTAGCCAAAATTATTTACTTAATTATCTTTGTAATTATATAGTAGTTAATTTTTAATATTTTTTTGTAATTAAAATATTAACACATAATTATATTATCATTAATTATTTTTATTTTTTGTTTTCAGATATTTCCCGAGTAGCAGTTTGCTTCTTGTGGAATACAGGCGTGTGAAGATTGCGATTTACTTTTGTTTTTGTTATCCACGGAAGAATCATGAGGGAAACTTTTGTTTTTGATTTACGTTATTTTGAATTGTGAACAACATTATGTATTTAAACATTGTGTATGTATTATGCAATATTATGTAGTGGGATAATTTTGCTAATGTGTTATAATGAATGAATGCAAGAATATTTTTATTATGGATGAATTGTTATTTTTATACTGGAATTTTTATATTATAATGTAATTATTGGTTTCTTTTTCAATTATTTTTCATTTAATACAAGTAATTTTCATATTTTTAATAATTTTATTGTAGTTTTTTTTTTTTTTTTTTTTGGCACCACACCGTCGCAAAAAACAGATAATTTTTATAATTTTAATAACTATATAACAGTTTTTTTTTTTTTTTTGCGACGGCACCATACCGTCGCAAAAAATATTAGAACCATTGGTGACAGTGGGCATGCCGTTGCAAAAAAACAAAACCATTCGTGATAGCATTTTATGCCGTCTCAAATAAAACTTTTAGCGACGACAAAACGGTGCCGTCGCAAAAGGTCTGACTTTTTTACATATTATATGCGACAGTAAATTACCGTCGCAAAAGGTAACAATTGCCTTCGCTAAACGCCCTCTGTTGTGACCTCCCATTTACCGTCGCTAAAACTTTTTTGAAACGGCATTACGAGTATTAGCGACGGCACCGTGCCGTCGCAAAAAAGTAAAAAATGTCGTCGCTAATGTTTAGCGACGACACTATGCCATCACAAAAACTCTTTTGCAATGCCCCCAGTTGCGACCCCCCTCTTGCCGTCGC